GTCCAGCAAAATAAGTCATTTAATTTTGTATCTATGTTTGTAATGTTTATTTATGTGTTTAGTATATTTTCCTATTAGACTGTAAGCCCCACAGGAATAAGGGCTATGTCTCTACTGTTCGGCAGTTATATCTAACACCCAGGATGTTCCTGGCACAGAGCAGACATCCAATAAATATTTGCTAGAGGTAGGAAAAAAGGCATGGAGAGAAGGAAGATGGGAGGCCTATGGTTAGCTAGCCTTCTCTCCATTATTTGTGTGGCTATGGGGAGAAAAATCTAAAAACATGTACATTCTCTTTGGTCAGTCTACCTACTTAGCAATTCACTGATCCATCTAACCATCCCAGAAACGAAAAGGATTTAAAACAGTTTCCAAAAAGTACATAGTTACAAGATAAGATAAAGTAAATGGAAATTGAAAAATATGGAAATTACAGTAGGAAACAAGATGTTTATATATGCATACATGTAAAGACAACTAAATCATAGGAAAGGAAGGGAATTTATTTTCTCAATTTCTTCAGCTTAAATTAATATTATAACCACTATTATAATGCTCTTATTGTAACAAAACACTAAGAAAATATTTACTTGTTCCTCATCTGGCCATACACTATAAAAACCACTACATAACCAGGTTCCTTGTATCATAAGCCATAAAGTCTATTGGAGGAGATAAATATTCAATTAAAATAAAAATGTAATAAGTAAGTTATAATAGTAAACATATAGGTTTTCATGAGAGAACAAAAGCAGGATTCTTCTCTGGACCAGCAAAAATGCTTACATGGTAATTGCTTTACTTTGATGCCACTATGTCCTGTTCCCAGTCTTTTCTGATATATATAAATATCCCTGGCTCTTGTACAGGGAACTATATGCTTTCAAATGTTAGTAGTACAAATGAGGCCTAAACATGCAAATCACTATATCATAAGAAATCACATTTGAAAAACGTCCGTTTTCTTATAAGTGAAAGCCTAACTCTGATTCTACTTAGCCTGGTAATGTGCTTCTGTCATTCCGTTGGACCAGCCCACACATACTGGGTTCTTGATAGGTCCTGGGCTCGGCCATCTGGCCCTTTATTTACTTAATTCTTTTTTAATACTGACAAGTGTATTAGTAACACTTCCTTGATCACTGGTAAATATAGAGCCACCACACAACCAAGATTTTCCCTAATTCTGAAAGTCACTAATTAGTTGTGGGTAGGGGTTGGGGAGTATTACAAAGATATGTTGAGCAGTACTACAATAAGTAATCTAATTCCCAAGAAGAAAGCATGTTAATCTGCTTCCCACTTCATTAGAGGAATAAAAAACATCTTGTCATCACTAAAGGATACAAAGAGAGACCTGGATATTAGGGGGGATGGTAGATAGGGAGGAAGAATGAAAGCAGCGTTTAGGCAAGAAACACAAATCCCCTACATATCTTGGACAATGTTCACGGTTTTCTTGGTATCTTTTGATTAATCCATTTAGCAGCGTTTCATAAGTATAGTTTATTCATTAATAAATACAAGCTTGCAAGGGAAATGAAGGTAAATGAATCCTATTTAGAGGAACTCATCATTCCACCATACTTATGTTAGATAGTAGGCTACTGGAAGCTGCCTTAATCTTTTCAAACCAGCAAGGTCTCAATTACTTGCGCTTGCAGAATAAAACAGTGTAAAGTTAAAGGGGAGAACACAATTTTCAAAGGGGCTAAAAATCATTTATAGAAAAGATATGGTCAAATTATAAGTACTGAAACTGAAAATTTATGTATTTTAAGTCCATTAGAAAACATATTTATTTGCAGGGTTTTTTGTCTGCAGGATAGGAGACAATCTAACAGATTTAATATTCCATAAAATTCCTCAAAGAATACTAGCTGACTGTTGTATGTGTTAACAACAGCATCAAGTTTAAAATATCAACTCTAACTCCCTGAAATTAAAGACTCTAACTATATACATAAGGTTAGGTCAATTGTTCTCATTTCTAGAATCAATGCAACATCAGGCAAAAGCCTTTAAAGATTATTTTGGATTTCAATCTACCTCCTTTGTTCATAAACATTTAGGGGGAAAGGATGACATTCTCTTATAGTACTTCCCCCAAATAACTAGAATCTCAATGAGAAACTTATAAAACTGCGAATTGTGAGGTAGGTATTAGTATTTCCTTGACCAAATCCTGTAACAAATGAATAAAAGCTAACTGGTACATATATGGAAATAAATTGGTGAAAGGCAAATGAATATAATAAGGAGGAAAAGTATATGGTTTAATATGTAATTTAAGAATTGTCAGCAAAGTGTGGCATGTATTATTTACCAGTATGTGGAAAAAGAAAAATAGATGTTTTGGTATACAAATAAGTGCATGTATAGATACATAATAGAAGCTCTGTGTTACAGTGGAACTGAAACTTCTCTGGGCAGTGATCAGCTAAGAAGGAACAGAGACAGTTACAATGCAGTGATTAACTAGTTGACAAATCTATTATTCATGGCAGGTATGTAAGCAGTCAGTGCAGCGATGTTGGTGGTCTCTACTCACCAAGCAGCTTTGCCAGTACAGACTGGATGTCTGGAACCAGGCAATACACAAAAACAATAAAACCTATAGCCAGCTAAAGGAAGATTCAGCTCAATCCACATCCAATTTTAAACAGTACTAGAAATCTCCATTCAGAACGTTTTCCCTTGGGATTAGCATAATTGTATTTATAAGATGTTGACCAACATTTATGGCTGTTTATCTTCCTTTGCAAAACAACAGGTCAGAAACACCTATGTAGAAATTCCCAACATATTACCCCCAAAAAGTGATTTTAACGTTCGTTGGCAGAAATTTCTGTTGATAGGTATAACCATCATGTCGTTACATGAACAGATGGTCAAAGTGTGTCCATTTCACTGACAGTGTATTATCTGGGTCTTTTTATCCCTGAACAACCAAACCAAACAAAAGCACAATACAGAAGAGGTCATTGTCCCTTCCCTCATTTGGCTGGCAGCTTCATCTGTGAAATATGAAAATAAAAAACCAACACAGACTATAATTCCCGCATAGTGCCATTTCTGCATAACATTTAATCGAATACTTAAGTATTTGTATCCAAAAGTCATCCTGATGTTTGTGAAGATGGGAAAATACGCGAAATCTTTAAAAATCTTTTAACTCCATGATCTCCAGTAAAAGGAGAAAAATAGCCATATTTCTTCTTCTTTAGGGTTTTTTTTTATCTAACCAACAATTTATAGGAATAAAATGCAAATTAAAACTCTTTATTGGTACTCAGGTCTTTTAATGAAACCTCAGGGAAAAAATATTGAAAAAAGGTAAATCACTATATTAAAATCTTTTTTCCTCTGAAACAGAGGTGCTCTTTCTTTGTATATAATATTTTTACTGAATAATTTCTAAGTATTACAGCCGAAATGTTCATAACCAAATGAATTCATAGTCTAACAGATATCCAGTCACCAACTACTACATTTTATACCATGAGATCTCTGAAAATACACACACACACTCACACACACACACGTTGCTGTTTGGATGCTTAATATGGTAGCTGCACCTCTATAACTAATCTAAAATAGTTTACCTTGATTTGGTGAAATAAAAATAAATAATATTATGAGGAAAAGGAGAGATTGAAAATTAAGGATATATTTCTATCTGTAACAGCTACTATGAAAAACAACGGCTGAGAATTATATTACCAAAATGCATCTACATATGTGGCTATGGAAACTTATGTGCAAGAATAGTGCCACTACCCACTTTCAAAAAGGGCTGATGAAGTATCAAGTTTAAGAGTACATCTTTCATACTTCTGTACCTTAAAATATTGCCGAGTATTAATTTTTCATCAAGTTGTCATTTTCTCTGACATTTGGTTTTATTAATCAAGGCATTTATCATTAATTTGTAGAAAATATCGTAATTAAGCCAAATAAAATAAAATCCTTAAAAGGTTAAAATTAGAAAGCAGGTGAATTAGAACTTTGACATTACCCTGTTGACATACTGGAGCATTTTGAAAGTATGGGAATCAAGTCTTTGCAGTGAGTTTGGTGCCTCAATCTTGGGGCTGGCTGGTTTTTTTTTAAATGTTATAAAGATTTGATTTAAAGCTCTCTGACAGTTTTGACATTCAGGTGAAAGTACTGCTGCTGCATTTGGAACAATTTGCATATCCCACTGCTAAACGGAATGTTTGAGGTGTGCACTGGTGTAAAGAAATTAAAAACAAGCTATCACACATGCTTAAGTGTATGTATTCACAAAACTGATGGTTGGATCGCAGCGCCCCATCCCCCTCCAATGTAATCAATGATTTACTCTTCTATAATAAATTACCCTACCATGTTATTCTCGCTGGAAGATCTAACCATGCATGTAAGAAGCAAAGTAATTACAGCCCCCTCTTGTCTCAGGAACCTACTTCAATCCCTATGAGCTCTTTATACACAATGCAGCAACACAAGTCTATTGTAAACTTCTTGCCTGAAATTCTGGACTTCTGGCTACGAGTAGCCACTAAATCTCATCTGCATGGTTTCCTGCACAGTTTTGTTGTCTGCAACAAATGCATTTTATCTCTTATGGTTAGTTGTAAACCTCTTCCCGAGGAGGAATGGGTGCTGACTTCTTGGCTTTGAGTCAGTCTGTCTATTTAAGAAAAGGGCAAGGTATAAATGCAGAAGAGTTCCAAACTGATTTCAAAACGAGGAAAGGGCCATCATGCATTCCCATAGAGAAGGAAGAAAACATACAGTAACACCCAAGTAGGCTGAGACATTCTAAGATAACACAAAGGTTCTTCTTTTTTGACTTATAATTTCAGATTATTTTTATGTAGACATAGAAAAAAGATATTTAATGTGTTAAAGGGCAGTAAAGGAAAGACCTGAGGCAGTAAACCCAAGGCCTTAAATATTATGAAATATTCAAGAAGATAAAACCCATTCAAGAAAATATCACTGGACATTACCTTCAGCCTTCAGAGTCTCAAAGGGCAATTCTTAATACTTGTTTTTGTGTGCCTTTAAAAAGAAAATACTTAAAATTAAAAATCGTGAAGTAAACAATTTACATTGCCAAAGCATATTTATGACCAGTCATGAGATGTAGCTGAATTTATATATGTCAACTAATATCTATAGTTTTCAAAAGAAAAATAAAGGCTAACACATTCATTTGCATATGTGCGGTACAAGTACATAGTAAAGTGTGGCACAAATACACAATTTAAATCACTGTGTGTATAGGGTTTAGATGTAGACCAGGATATTTATTACAGTATTATTAGAATTTATTTATTTATATAATTAAAGGTTTTTTCATTTATGTTTTTATAAATGAAAAAGCTAATTCTAAATAGTTTTTATCCCATGTATTTGTTTATTCTTCATTATCAGAGATTTTGTAAAAATCTACTTTGTATAATATACTGGTAAGTACTGATGAGGTAGGAGAAATTCAAAGACAAAACACAGGTGCTGTCCCCAAAACAATAAATGAGGTTAAAGAGATTGCATAAGGGAAGATAATCCAGAGAATGAAAAATAAGTGGATGGAACGAAACAGGGAGCAGAGGGTAACATGTTTAATATAGCTCGAACTGGTGCACAGTACCTATTGCACTGACATTAGAACATGGCTTTGCGTTTCCTGTCTCAGCAAGAAAGGCTATGACTCTAGGGTCCTACTCATATTTGGAGTTAGGAATGTCAAACAAATGGATGAGGCACTTTTACATTCCTGTCCATCCAAATGTTTGATAGTAGAGAATCAAAGCTAGGACCGGGAGCAGTGAAGCAGGCAGGATGTTGAGGTGCCTTTAAAGCCAGTTTAGTGAGTTGGAATATAAAAAAAAATTAAATAGAAACAACTCTCCTATTAAAAACTGAATTTGATATTTTATGTCCTCGGAAAGCTACCCTCTAAATTTGCTATGAAATCTCAATGATGACCTTGATGTCATATTTACTAATAATCTCCACAGAGATTTAGCCATTCAAAGTCTCAAAAGCAGTTTTACTAATGGAAATGCATACATAAACATAAGCCAATGCTATCAGCCAGTGCATCTACAGTAAAAAATAAACACAAAAAAACACATTAAAATGACAAAGATCTAAGGATTTTAATTGGTTGGATATTTAATATGCATTAATAATATTTTATGAAGGAAAAACAAAGAACCAAACAACAAACTATACTAGGAAACCAAAACAAACCTGAGTTTAAGCTGTACTGATAAATGGGATTGAGAAAGGGAAGGTGATATCCCTGTCATAGTTAGGATACATGAGTAATACAATAATTCTGCAACACCAAACTTTAGAAGAGGCATTGAAAATTAGAATCTTTTAGGATGAATGAGATCAGAACCATCCATCATGGATAAACAGAGGATAACAAAGAAGAGGGAAAAAATGTTCAGACTGTAGGGATGAGGTGGAGAAATTTTAATTTGGAAAAAATTAATTTGGCCATTACATGATATATTATAAAGTAATTTTTATTTATGTATTGTCTCCCAGACTAGAATAGAAGTGCCAGAAGGACAGATGCTGTATTTTTCACCGTATTCCCAATTTCATGAAGAGTGTCTGCCACAAACTAAGATCAATGAATACTTACTGAATGAAAGAATGAACAGCGTGACCAACCTATGAGACAGGCACTAGGTCTACATCCATTTACAGATAATGAAATTGAGGCTTAAAGAAGTTAAATTTTATATATTAAACTTTGCTGTTTTGCAACTCTGAACTTCTACAACCCATTGTTTAGTCTTCCATTCAATATTCATTCTAGGAGTGGAAAGCAAATAAGCAAATAAGTTGTTAAACTTACAATGTCATATAGTTAGTACAGTGAGTGCAAACCACAAGGTAATGGCATTGAGAGTTACATGGGCTGATATTTTAAATGGGTTTGGACAGGAAAGCTCTCAAAGGAGGTGACAATAAGGAAAACTGTGCATGAAGTGAGAGAGTCAAAAAAAATATCTGGGGGACTATTACCAGCTATTACAAGAGGAAAAAAGTTAATATATACTACCTTGCTTTGTACAATGCACACAGCAAGCAATATTCAATAACTATTATTTTATTATATCACTCTTATTTTTATAAATAATGAATTTCCCTACTAAATTTTAAATTTTTCAGACATTCACTTTTCTTTCCCTATAGCTCCTTAAATGCCTAGCAAATATTCAATAAAAACTTACAGAACTGAAAATAGGAAGACACAACTACCGTTCATTAATTAGAAATAGTAAACAGACTATATGAATATGAAAAAGTCATTATTTCATATGGCTGAGTGAATGTGACTCTGATAAATCACTGTCACATAATCTTTTCTGGATTTAAAAGAAGGAAAAACATATAAAATGTCTAGAGTCAGTAGGTCATAGTTTTAAAAAGAAAAGAGTAAAAGGAATCAGAAAAAAATGAGGTTACCGATATTAGGCCACTATCTTGACCATTTACATGCTCTGTTTGCCTCCATCAGATTAATACATTTTTCTACCCCAAGGACTCTACCTCACAGGCTTACGATTCTTTTTTTTTTTTAATGTTTTATTTATTTCTAGGAGAGCGAGAGAGAGCGTCAGCAGGGGAGGGTCAGAGAGAGAGGGAGTCACATACTCTAAAACAGGCTCCAGGCTCTGAGCTGGCAGTCAGCACAGAGCCCGACGCGGGGCTCGAACCCACGAACCCCGAGATCATGACCTAAGCGAAAGTCGGATGCTTAACTGACTAAGCCACCCAGACGCCCCCACAGGCTTACGATTCTTTAGGTCTTCCTAACATAAGCACAGGGACTGGTATATAGCAAACATTCAATACATCTTTGTTTAATTAAATTTGGCTAAAATTATCTTTAGTAGTTCTGATGCTTTAAAGTTAGTCCAAAATTTTAAAAATAGCATTGGTGGTATAGTGGTGAGCACAGCTGCCTTCCAAAATTTAAAAAATAAATAAAACCAAATAAGAGGTTACAACAAAAAAAAATATCAAGTATTAGGTTTTGACTCTGCAGCAAATGAGTAGAGAACAAGGTTCATTTTTACCAAAGATTGAAATATAAGTGATGGTGTGGTACCAGCAGCAGAAGAGACAGACTAGTGGAACAGACCATAGGGACTCCAGTATGGGGCAGCATTTTCAGTGTTGAGATTGTTCTCTACCTCCTCCCAATCACCAAAATACAAATCAGATGACTGATACATCTGAATATAATAAGTAATCAAAGAACTATAAGAAAACACATGTATAAGGGCACCTGGGTGGCTCATTCAGTTAAGCATCCAACTTCGGCTCAGGTCATGATCTCACGGTCTGTGGATTCCAGTCCCTCATCAGACTTGACAGCTCAGAGCCTAGAGCCCGCTTCCGATTCTGTGTCTCCCTCTCTCTCTCCCCCTCCCCCACTCACGCTCTGTCTCTCTGTCTCTCTCTCTCTCTCTAAAAAATAAATAAAACATTTAAAAATTTTTTTAAAAAAGAAAGCATGTGTATATAATTTTCTGAACTCCAAGGTGAGAAGGCCTTTTAAGCCACATCATCAGTAGTGGATTATAACATAAACATAAGGATTTATGAATTTGACTACTTAAAATTAAAATTTTTTCAAAGCCAAGAAATATCTTTTGTAAAAAAATTTATAGTTTATTTATGAGAAAGAGACAGAACATGATTGGGGGAGCGGCAGAGAGAAATTGGGAGACACAGAATCTGAAACAAGCTCCGGGATCTGAGCTGCCAACACAGAACCGGATGCGGGTCTCAAACCCACGAACCGCGAGATCATGACCTGAGCCGAAGTCGGAAGCTTAACCAACTGAGCCACCCAGGCGCCCCTAAAGCCAAAAAATATCTTGAATAAAATTGAGGCCAACAACAAAAAGAAATATTTTTAATGTATATGACATCATAGAGTTAATCTTAGTAAATAAATGGATGAAACAAATATCTCATTTTTTCAAACGAATAAGAAATTCATTAAGAGGAGCTACACAAGCTAAGATATATAAAATAATATAAATCTGTAATGAATATTTTTTAATAATTAAACTGTACTGAAAAAGTGCAAACAAAAATAGCCTAAATACTCCATAACAGTGAACTGGTTAAATAAATGATGTGATACAATAATAAGCTTTCATTAAATACAGGAAGTGAAAATTTACAAAGCATCGTAAGCTTAAAAGGCAGGTTGTAGAGGCGCCTGGGTGGCTCAGTCAGTTAAGTGCCTGACTTTGATTTCAGCTCAGGTCATGATTTCACGGGTTGTGAGTTCCAGCCCTGGATCCAGCCCTGCATGGAGCCCAGCATCCATTCTCTTTCTCTCTGCCCCTCCCCCACTTGTGTGTGCATGTGCACATGCACTTTCTTTCAAAAATAAATAAGTAAACTTAAAATAACAGGTTGCAAAGTGGTCAGAATAAGTAACAATTTTTAACAATGCTTTTAAATTTTTTTAATGTTTTTTTTTTTTTTTGAGAGACAGAGACAGAGCATGAGTGAGGGAGAGGCAGAGAGAGAGGGAGATACAGAATCTGAAGAGGGTTCTAGATTCTAAGCCGACCTCAACGCCGGGCTTGAGAACCATATTATGACTGAGCCAAAGTTGGACGCTTACTTAACTGACTAACCCACCCAGGTGCCCTAACTTTTAATAGTTTTTTATATGATATAGACTGCACACAATATGAGTAAATAAATGTAGATCTTATGTATGTGTGTATATATGAGTCAGAAAAAACACTTATGCATTAGAAAAAGCACGTAAGGACCTATACACTAAATTCTTCCTAGTACTGATCTAAGAGAGTAACATTATGGCAGATATTTTTCTTTTCTTTTCTTCTTGTTATTTCTTTCCAAATTTTCTACAATAAACACAAATTACTTTTTATAAACATAAAAGAAGATGGAATGAGGAGGAAGGAAAGAAAGAGAATTAAAAAAAGAAAAGAAAGAAAAATAAGATTTGGCAAAAACAGCAACCACCTGTAATGGTA